TATATATATATATCGGGTAGGGCATTTAAAACGGACCAACTGAATAAATCGATTATAATTGGTGATAGAAAAAAAAATGTGTCAATCGAAATTAACTCGGTTTCGATGATTCCTTGTTATTTCTTTTTCTTTTTCTGATGAACACAATATGGCTAACTTTATTTTTCTTTTTTAAATAAAATATAAAATGATGTATGATTTTTTCTATGCACAATCCAATAGGGTGTTTTAAAAAATGCATACAGTCGAGTTGCTCCGTATTTTTTCCTATATTATTCTCCTTATTTATATGATTTTATTTTGTAGATAATAAAATAAAATAAATATTCACTGGCGTAACACGGGATTATGTTTAAACTCGAAACCGAGTAATTTTCATCGAAACGTATTTTTTCTTATTAATCTCCGATAACAATTGAATTATTCCGGTAGCACGTTTTAAATGTCTCACCCGTTATATACAGGTATAGAGAGGTGTTTCAGAAGAGTAACAGAACGAAAGCCTTCAACAAATGCAGCAAGCTAACGATGATATAAAAAGCTTTGCGACCGCGAAAGAACGTTTTACTTGGGAACAATGCTCACCTCGTCCACTCACCCCTTACCCATCTCCCTTATCACCCCCCCCCACACCCTTATCCTCAACCCATCTACTTTTCTACAAACCCCTGCCGCGTCACCCCGATATACCCACTCGAGACTTAAGAGTTAAAGTCCTTTCTAAAAGATCCTACACGCCTACCACTTTCAAACTCGATTATTTCCATTTTATTTTTATTTTTCCTTTTATTTTATTTTCTTTTCTTTACCTTTACTTTACTTTACTTTACACTTTACTTGATCGTTTCCTCTTATTAGTTCGTTCGTTCGCGTCCCGAAGATTATCTTTTAATATCTCGCGAATCGATTTAAACAAAAATTCGACTTTTCTTTCAAGAATATACTCAAATAACTCGAAGAAAGTTAACATAAACACTTTAAATAACTTTTTTCTGTTTTTTTTTTTTTTTCTACTATAGATATCTAGATATTATTAAACTTATAATATATCCGAATGAATGAACTTTTTAAAGTGGAATCAAAAGAAAAAAAAAAAAGATTTAAGGCTGAAATAGGAAAAGGATGAGATATGCATGGGAGAGAGGAGAGATTGTGACCGGAAGAAGATTGATGAATGTATAGAAAATAAATAATAACACAGGTAGATTTTTTTTATGAAATAACGAATAAATTATTATTTTACACAATAGCGTGTTCTTGATTTTTCTTCTTTTTTTTTTTTCTTTTTTTTTTTTCTTTTTTCTTTTTTTCTCTCTTTCATATGTACAGAATTGTATATACAATGTTCGTAATTCTTTCTTACAACAAATTGCACCTATCGCAGAATATTTTATTTATAATTTCCGAACTCTTTCTCGGTAGTTCGGTCAAAGATGAATCGGGGGTATGGTGGTGTAAGGGGGAGTTTGTTAAGAATGAACAACACTCGAGGAAACCTGTCGATCTCGAGAGAGCAAACAGAAGGATTTTATCTATGGTGTGTTGTATATATGTATATATAACGTTCGTTCGTTCGTTCGTAGGTTCGTTTGTTCATTTACTCGCACGCTCGCTTGTTCGTTCGTTCGTTCGTTCGTTCGCTTGTACACATATTATGTATGTACAACATATTTGTACACGCGTTATATTTTCAAAGAAAAATTTTGTTCGCGAGGGCGGCGCTCAGGAAACACCACCATCGATTCATCGCAATCTCTTTTTCTCTTTCTCTCTCACATAATCTCACTCTCGCTCTCTCTCTCTCTCTCTCTCTCTCTTTTTCTTTAAAATAAATCACGTTAACGCTATACGCTACGCAGAGAGATAGAGAGAGAGAGAGAGAGAGAGCTCTCACGCATTTGGAATTTGCATTAACTTTAAAATAATTTGTTTCAATTCATTTCATTCGAGAACTGTTACATGGCTTGTACCAAGTGGTCATACACGTATATATATATATATAACTCATCACACACACACACACACACACATATTCATACTCGCACACGTATACGAATTTCATGAAAATTTAACCAGCTACCGTGTCACATATTCGATATGACTTCGTGACGATGGTTACGTAAATGTCGCACAAAACGTACCGGAAATGATCTCTCTCTCTCTCTCTCTCTCTCTCTCGTTTTCAACACACACGGAATACACATATATACATACGCACACGTGTATTTAATCTCTCTTGGTGTGGTACTCGATAAAGGCAACTTTTTCGTTATAACGAATCGTTAGATGATTTTGAGTACGATTAAGGGGGTAGGGTGGGGGGAATTTAATGCGAGTAACGCGTACACTCACGCAAGCGTGTAATTGTACCGTGGACGCACCGACGAAACGTTTCTAATTTTCTATCAAAGAGAATATATTTCAACTGTCGTCCGGATTCTTTCTATTCTCGTTTAGTTTGTTCCTCCTCGAGCCATATGTTTCCGCGCGTGCGTTATGTCCCTGTCACGGAATCACCCCCATTCATGTTCGAACTGATCGAACAATGGCGCGAAATGTGTCGACGTTAAATCAGAGTATAGTTAGTACCTAATGTTAAATGGCACAGCTCTACGATCTTGTTAGCTTGTCATTTATAAATGATGTACGTTTTAGATCGGAACAATTATGCCGGGGTGCGATGTTCTGTGAAGAAAGATAGAAAAAGAGAAAATGCGAAGACAGGTGAACGCGCGTTAACAAAAGTTGAAACGCGATTGTAATAAGCTGACTAGCAGACATCACATACATAATATATTTTCTCTCCTTTTCTTTCTTTTTATTATTTTAGATGATTTTTCTAGTATCGTCGCATTCGTTAATGTTGTCATAGTAGAGTGTAAAATAAATGTTAAGCTCTCTCTCTCTCTCTCTCTCTCTCTCTCTCTCTCTCTCTCTCTCTCTCTGTCTGTCTTTCGCACAGTCAATCGCAAATCGTAATTCGTGGGTATTTCCGAGGAAGAGAGAAGGGATATGAGGGGGTATGAAAGGGAGGGTGGGTGGAGAGAGCTTACCTAAGAGAAGGAGGACGACGGTGGTGGCGGCAACGGTGGCGGCAACGGTGGCGGCGACGGGTCTACGTCCATTGATGGTGCGCCGAGGGCAGTATGTGTGGCAGTGGTAGGGGCGGCGGCGGGGGCGGGGGCGGTAACGGCAGGGGTCTCTCCAAAACAGAAAGCAAAGAGACGTCCGGCATGGCGAACCTTAGCTTCTCCCAAAACATCTTGTCTCCCCATACCAGGACGGTGTGCGAGGAGATTCTCTTTTTGAGATCGGCGTCGAGATCGCGCTGGCAAACACCGCCCACGAGGAGTAATATCACCGAGCGACCCTTCCCTTTGAGGGCGTCCCTCAGGGCCGCCTTGAATTCGAATCTCGCCCACTCGCCGCGCAAAAAGTTCTTCGATAATACGAGAATGGTGCGCCGCGAGGAGTCGGCTGCCTCGGCGACGGCATCGGCGACGTTGCTCCCAGCACCGAGATCTCGATAGTGTAGGCACAATCGATAAGAGCTCTCGAGACCGGGCACGAGTATCGTCGAGACGAAGGCCTCGTCCACCGCCGAATAGGAGATATACGCGTCGAAGGGCTTCTCCTGATCCTCGAAAGCCGCGGTCTTGTAACAAGCACGTAGTCCGCATCTACTGGCAGCCCATGTCCTCAGAGTACGCCGGTGTCTGAAAGCCCCGCAGACTAAAGCCACCATGGCGAAGATCAACAAAGCGCTGGCCAGTAATAGGGGCAGATAAGCCTCGAGCGGTCGGGTCTCGATCGCCGTGTTAGTCCCACCGCCGGTTAATGCCGCGCAATTTACGGCCGATCCGTTCGCCGGCAATGTAATCGGTATACCGAGAGAACAGCTAACGCTCGGCCAGTCGACGATCTTCTCGCGATTCCGTGACATCCACTCGCGAGCACGCTCCAAATAAGAACACTCGCAGCTCCAGGGATTGCTCGATAAACCTACGTCCACGAGATAGGGATTCTGACCGAGTTGCCACAGGGCAAATGTACCGAGACGATTCCTTTCCAATCTGAGGACTTCCAACTGACGTAACGGCAGGAACGTACCGTTGTCGATATACGTTAGAAGGTTGTTCTGCAGGTAGAGTTCCTTTAGATTCTCCAACGGCATCAATTCAACGCCGTTGAGCACGCTTATCTTGTTGTTTTCCAGATGGAGCACCAGCAATCTCTTCAGTCCGCTGAACGTGTGGTTACGGATCGCGATTATGTTGCTGTCGTTCGCGTACAATATCTCGAGATTCTTACGGCCGATGAACGAGTGGGAATTTAACTCGCCAAAGTTGTTACCATCGAGGTAGACTTCCGTTGCATCCATTGGCAATCGACCGGGTAGAGTTTTGTAACCCGAGCTCGAACAATCTACGACGTTCGCGGACCAAGACTGATCGTGGTAGCACGTGCAATTCGTTGGGCACGTCATCTCGCAATCGCAAGCGTCGAAATCGCAACAATGACAGAGCGCGAAGCAATGTGCCTTGTACGTGCAGAGAAATTGCGAAGGTTTCGCCTCGAGCAACGGTATGAACGACTTGCGACGATCGTACGGTAATCGGCAATAAACCGACTCGAGATCCATCACTCGGGGATGTTGTCTCAACGACAAGGTATTGATTCGCTGCAACCATTCGGTCGTGCAGTCGCATATAAACGGATTACCACCGATGTAAAATTCGGGAAGTTGCCGGGTTTCGGGTACTTGAGTTAATTGGAGAGCCGAGAGATTCATCTTGACGATTTGATTCGCATAGAGATCGACTCGGGTCAAATTGGTCTTACCGAAAAAGGTCTGAGGCTCGACCGTATGTATGAGATTGTCGTTGACGAAGAGCAACTCGATGGAATCCGGTATGGAACTCGAATATATCCTCGTAAGTTGGTTGAAGGAGACGTCGAGCGTTTGCAGTCTCATACCCGGTGGCGCGATTCCCAGGTCCGAGATAAAATTCTTATGTAGATCCATCCACTGTAATTTCTCCGGCAAATACTTGTAGTCGAAGTTCGCGATCATGTTGTCGGACATGTTAAGCCACAGGAGACCCGGCGCACCCGCGAAAATCGAGGACACGTCCTGCAATAAGTTGCTGTCGAGTCGTATCGCTTGTAAGGCTGGATTCGCGGAGAACACGCCGTCCTCAACGAACTCGATTCTATTTCTGGCCAAATTTAGGATTTGCAGGGCCGGTAGTTCCGTAAGATCCTCGCACGTGACATTCGTGATCTCGTTCCCGATCATTCTCAACCCGTAGAGACTCGACATACCGCGGAAGCCAGGCTTACTGAGACTTCTAATTTGATTTTCACCGAGATCGAGGGTCTTCAGCATCCGCATGTCCTTTACCGCGACCGGCACGTTGTCCAAGTTGTTACCCGAGAGATTAAGATCCTGCATGCTCGAACAGTTCCTGAAAGCGTCAGGATGTATTCCCTCGAGCATATTTGAATCCAATGCAAGAAGTGAGAGAGCATATAAGCCGTTGAGGGAATAAGCGTCCAAGTAGGTCAACCGATTGTGCGTGAGTTCGAGGGTGTGAAGGTTGCTCATAGGTGAAAATGTATCGGCAGGTATCGTTTCGATTTCGTTGTGCTGTAGATTTAAGATTTGTAACGTGTAAAGGTCTTTGAATAGTTCCGGATCGAGCCTGGTGATTCGATTGTGAGAAAGGTTCAAGAGAACCAAACGAATCAAGCCCGAGAAGGTTGCCGAATTGAGCCAGGTACTCGTCAATACGTTTCTCGACAAGTCCAGAGCAACGAGCTGATTCATATCGGCTACGAGACCCGGCGATAGCGCGCTGATAGAATTATTTTGCAATCTCAACTCCTTCAGGGATTTGGTAGCGTCCCGGAACATATCCGTCGGTAGAGCTACTATTCGGTTGCCGGACAGATCGAAGGTCTCGAGAGATCTCAATCCGTGAAGCGCTTCGTCTGCCACCATGGAGATCGCGTTATTCGACAGGTTGAGAATCCTTAGACGTTTCAGCGAGGAGAAACCGTAGGCTGGCAGTACGGATATTTGATTGTTCGAAGCATCCAATGACTGCATGTCAAGGGAGCAAGGAAATGGCGTGGGTGTTGATTCGTGTTGACGGTTCGAGTATCTCTCGTTGACATCCCTAAATCCCAATTCAGCGATATCCTTCAACGTATTCCAAGAGACATTGAGCGTTACAAGATTCGTCAACGGACAAAACAGATATTCCGGTATTTGCCAAATATTATTCGACGAAAGATCCATCTTCTCGATCTGCGGTGTTGAATCGAAGGCCCCACTTTCCAATTCCAAACTATATTTAGTCTTTCGTCCGATCGACGTTCTCACCGTAAGATTTCTTAAATCTCTCAAACCACCGAGAATCTTGGCCGGCCAATGGGTTAACTTGCAACCGATTAATTTTAACGAACGTAGTCGCCATAAATGTAAAAGACCGTCGACGTTGAGGACGCCGCCCTCGAGGGCGGGATCGAACATCGACTCGGGCTCGGTGTCCTCGCATATAACGTTAACCGAGGTCACGTATTCGCTCGTTGCTTGAGAAAAGTTAGTGCGGAAGGAATCGTTGCTTGGATAGCGATGAATGCAAGTAAGAGTTCCGTCCTGCCTTGAATCCCAAGAACAATACTCGGGAATGTCGAGTCTAGGCGGCAGCTCGCTGGTCACGGCGAGCACGTGGTTGTACCGCTGGCAGCAAAGTACTATGACCAGCAAGAGATAATAGTAAGGGTGGTCATTTTTCTTCTTATTGTTCTTGTAGAAATGCTGCTTGTAGCAGCCCTGAGTTCTTCGACGCATCTTAGCGACCCCTTCTCCTCCACTATTTCCGTCTTTCGCTTTTTATCCCTTTCCCTTCCTCCACTTCTTATTCTTATTCTTCCTCCTCCTCCTCCTCCTCCTCGTAGGTCGGTACCGATGTCGTACTCCCTGCCCTCTCCACCGGGCACTCCTCGTCTCATCACACGACGACGACGAGGATCGCCGACCGAGTCATGTTCGAGCCGAGGCTCTCCTCTCCTCCTCTTCTTTTCTTCTTCTTCTTCCTCCTCCTCCGTTCGTGAACGCGCGAACGCCCATGCACCGTGCACGACGACGCAACCTTAACTTCCAACTGGTACTATTTACTACTACTACTACTATTATTATTACTATAACGACGAGGACGAGATACTAGGCGAGGCAAGATGCGCCCAGGCGTGCCAGTGCCTACCGTTCAGATTGTTTACACTTCCGGTGGATCGCACTTGCTCGTGTGTGTGTGTATATATACGCTCTTATTCTATCTCAAGTATTCAAAGAAAATGAACGGGAGAAGAGAAAAAGAGAGAGTGCTAGTTAGCTAGCTAGCTAGCTACTATTCCTCCCGTGGGTCACCAATCTCCTCCACCTCCTTCTTCTCCTCCTCCTCCTCCTTCTCCTTCACCTCCTCCTCCTCCTCCTCACCGCAACCGATCCATTCGCTGCTTGCTTCCCAACCGGCGCGTCGTCGTTGTAAAATCACGCGCGGAAGGAAAAAAAAAAAAATAACAAGAAGAAAAACACACGATAAAAAGAGTTCTTGCTCGATCGGAACTAACGAACGATCCCTATGCTTCTTGTTCTTCTTCTCCCTTTGTTAGTAGTATCACATCATCCACCTACTCTTTTATAATAGAGATTTTTCTCTATCTTTTCTCTTTTTTTCCCTTTTTTTTTCTTTCTTCTTCTTCTTCCTCTTCTTTTCTATTTTATAAACTATATTTTTTCTACACTACTAAGCTGCCAACGTAGCTTTATTCTTGTCCCTCTTTTCTATTTAATAACGGTCCAACGAAATAATCTTTCACATACACCATTATAAACATTTTTATTTTCTCCTTACTTCTTCTTATTCTTCTTATTCTTTTATCAACTTTTTATTATCTCGATAAATTTTCCAATTAATCTTTTCTCTGATATTATTTTCAAATTTGAAAATAAACTTGTCGCGGAAAACAGTCACATCGTATATCGACGAGTTAAAATTAATCGTTAAATTAAAATAAACAGAGATAAAGATAGATAGATAGAGATAGATAGATAGATAGATTGAGAAGATAGGAAATAAAGTTAGCAATCACCTAATGCAGGTGCATCACTCGCGAAGCGCAACACACTGAACGCTGTCCGCCGCGCAACTGACGAGATGGATCTCATCGGCTTCTAACTTGGCGAGGAGAGCAGAACGGCGTCGTCGGCGGCAAAAACGGCGGCTGCAGAACCGGCGGCGGTGGCGTTGGTGGTGGTGGTGATGGTGGTGGTGGTGGTGGTGGTGGTTATGGTGCTGGTAGGTAGTGGTGGTGGTGGTGGTGGTGCTGGTGCTGGCGTCCAATCGTTGCTTCCCCTACCACTGAGTGGCAGCACTAACACACAGGCGCACGACACTCGCGTGTCCCTTTTCGTGATGTCCCTTTTTCGTGTGACTACTACTGCAGAAAACTTGTGAGTGCATAGAAGTACACCTAAAAGGTTGGAAAAAGAGAGAGAGAGAGAGAGAGAGGAAGAGGGAGATAGATAATATATTTTTGTGTTCGTTTTCTATTTTTGTATATAATAAATTTTGTATAATAAATTATTATTTATTTTGTTTTTCTCTCTCTGTTAATAATCTTAGTGCGCGACACACGAGTGATTACTAAATCGAGTGCATAAATGTGCAACTAAAATCGTTGCGAGAGACGAAGTTAAAGAGATAGACGAAGATAATGTATTTTATTTATTTTTTTTTTTCTTTATATAACAAACTTTTTTATAATAAATTATCTGTGATTCCATTGATAATAATCTTAACTAACGACACTTGTGTATTTCCTTTGTGTAATTATTATCGCAGAAAATTAAGTACATAATATAGCGAAAAAGTTAAAAGGTTTAAGAAAATGAAAGAACTCTAAAGAGAGATTTATTATATCATATTTGTTTTCTTTTTTTTTTTTACAAGACAATTGTACGCTGAATTATTTGATACTTTTTTTCTTTTCTTTGTTTTTTTTTGTTTTTATATAATGATTCTAACAAACTCGTACGTTCCTTGTGGGACTACAGCGTTGCAGCGAACTGAATTCATAAAAATGCATACAAAATATTAACGAGAGAGACAGAGAGAGAAGATTTTTTTATTATTTTTTTATGACGAACTATCCGATATTTTGTAATAATAATTTTTACGACGACAACACGAATCCACATTTTTGTCTGCAACAGATATACCGAACTTTTGTACCAAGACTATATGTTGAATAATGCAAATAAATAAGATTACAGAATGAAAAAAGAGACCAAAAAATGAAGGGAAAAAGGAAAAATAGACGACCGTACTCGGAATGATCGGAGAAAGAAAATGAGTAACGATGAGGTAGAGATAATTAGAATAGATAGTGTCATCGCGCGGTATGTATTTTAATAGAGCAGATAATTAGAATATTCAGAGGTATGGTAATACGGGGGGGGATAAAGAACGAAGAATATGAGCGACGAAGAAGAAAGAGAGAGAGAGTGAAACAGAAAGAGAGAGAGAGAGAGAGACAGAAAGAAGGATGGAAAAAAAAAGAAGAAAAAATAAAAGGAAAGCGAGCAAGAAAAAGAAATAAAGAAAGAAAGAAAGAGATGGAAGATGGGTGCGATCTCTCACACCTTGCGTCGAGAAGGATGCACCTGTCTCTCAGACCTTCTTACTCTTTTCTTTCCTTCTTCTTTTATTCCTCTTTTCTTTCTTCATTCCTGAGCGGGTAGCCCTTTTCTCGTACTACTTACGCAGTCGACGCTTGTACGTTAGATAGAAAGAGACAGAATAAATCTTTCCCTCCTTGCAAAAGGGGGATACCTTTGAGACGACGATGCGACGTTGAGAAAAGGAGAAGAAAAAGAATAAGAAGAAGAAGGAAGAAGAGGTGAGGGGAAATTGGAATCTTACATCGCGTTTCGACTGTCGAACTTTGCACGAACAACCACGAATCTTATATCTTTCTCTTTCTTTATTTTCATTCCGAAAGGAGACCAAACCCTTCCGCTATCGTTTTTATTTTTTTTGTTCCATCTAATTCTATTTCTAAGAATACTGCTATTCCTCATAAAAGAATGCCCATTCGATTAACTTTTAAACGAACGAGAATGGGAGAGAATTAGTATCTTGTCATCCCTCATAGATTAGACAAAAGAAAGAAAGGAAAGAACAAAAAAGAAAAAAGAAAAAGAAGTAGAAAAGGGGAAAAGAAAATATATTGAAGAAAGAAAGAAACGTAGGGAAGAAATTCTCTGCGCGTTCTTTAACGAACGTTGAATTTTGTGGGGAGTTGCGTCGGGACGATGGTAAGAAAGAAGAAAAAGAAGAAGAAGAAGATTTCTTAGCAGGGAAGAAGGGACACATCATGGACGTAAAGGGAGCAACTTTCGACTCGGAGGAGAATCCCTCCTCCGTGAAGTATTTCAAAGGGAAACGCTACGAGAATTATGAATCTCTACGTAAGAGATGCGCGACCAAAACGAAAAAATAAATAAAAAGAAATTGAGAGAGAGAGAGAAAGAAAGAGTGAGAGAGTATGAGAGAGAAGCGGTGGGTGGGGGGGGAAGGAGGGGATAGGGTGCGTGAGTAGAAGAAATGTTTCTTTCTACTCTTGGTCACGATACCTACTTACCAAACCGGAGCGGAGTTAGTCCGACAGGAAAATTGTGAATTATCGTCGACAAATAAATATATTATAACTGGATGAATGAGAGAGAGAGAGAGAGAGAGAGAGAGAGAGAGAGAAGAGAGAGAGAAAGGGTGGAGAGGGCGGGAGGAGGAAAAAGAAGAAGTTCATCCAATGTTAGAGGGGGGTTCGGCCTCCTGCAGCAGCATCCTTCTCGTTCTCATCCATAATGTAGTAACGTTTCGACCGTACATCATTTAATCTTTGCGCCCGGTGATACTTCGTTGTTTAAGGATCATAAATAAAGCAGGTAGAAGGAGCAGCAGCAACAGCAGCAGCGTAGAAATGTTTTTTATCGAGATAAGATATTCCTTAGGTTGGATAACGTGCTATCGGTCGCGTTATTTTTGCAATAGGAAAGAAAAGAGAAAAAGACAGGCCGAATAAGAGAAAGAAAAAAAATGAAAAAGGGGGGTGGGGGGAGGGGAAAAAGAAGTAGAAAGAGATACACGTCGTCTTCGAGTATCGCTAAAATTTCATGACTTTCACGTGAAGGGGATTACTGAGAGAGACTTTTCGAGAGTCTCCAGTCACTCTCTCGTAGTACATTCTCCTTCGAGACTTTAAGATCCTTCGACTTTTACCAAAGGTTCGATTTACTTCAGCTTTTCTATCATAAATCCTTAACCATTTCTAAAACCCGATAGTCTCTTTCTTTCTTTTTCCATTCTTTTCGTAAACTTGAATAACCCTTAACTTACATTTGATACAAAACATGTTTATTTAACTTTATTTTATTTGCATATTAATTTTCTTGTTTATCATCGTAATATATATTTCGTTGGACACGAATTAAATTAATATTATTCATGTCTAATTCAAACAGTTATAACAGTTTCAAACGTGCTTTTCTAACTTTTCGAACGTTTTTAATTATAACATTAACATTGCACAAATATAAATACTTCTAAACATATTTTATTTCTTTAAACAAAACAAAAAAAAAATAAAAAATTCGTAGTTAATTTTACGCGGGACCGCGGTACCGTTCAAGTTTTAATTATAAACCGTTTAAAATATTTCTTTCTTAAGCACAGAAAAGAAAAAAAAGAAACGAAGAAAAAAATAAAAATAGAAAATATCCTGGTCAAATAAATTCGCAGTTTTAGTTTCGCATGAAGAAGTCATGTCTCTTTTGCTAATTCTTTTTCTTTTTCTTTTTTTTTGTTCGTAGCCACCAACGGTTGGCGAGAAGATCCTGAGGCTGCTGTTGGCCGGTTAGAAATAGCGAAGCAAGAGAGAGAGAGAGAGAAAGAGAAAAAAAGAAGTTTTAATTAAATGTAGGAGTAAGAATTTAATGGGGTGGGGGTGGGGATTAATTGGCTCTCGTCGGAGAGATCGGCGAGAAGGAGGAGTCAGGATTCATGGTGTACAGATGGGTAATAGTGGTGGTCGGTGATTAAATGACAGAAGGGATCAAACGAATCGATTTGCTTTGCGATTTTTAAACGTCAACGTTTTTCCGCGATTGCAGTTTTTAAAAAGTTCCTTTTAGAGAAGTAAGTAGGATAATCGAACGTATAAAAATATCCGGTTACCGAAATCCTTTATAAAAGAATTTGTCCTGAAACTTCTTTCTCTACTTTTTTCTCCCATTCTCTCGCGAGAGAGAATAATTTCGTAAAAAAGGAACAACACCAATCGAAAAATTACGTGATATATCGGTAATATCTTATTGTTTGATTTTTCCTTACTTTTTTTCCGAATCCACGTAATACACGTGTATCATTTTAAAAGTTTCCTATCGTTATGTAAATTTATGAATAAAAACAGGATATCTGTAAAGAAAAATAAAAAATGAACACCGAGATACGATTTATTTGTCAAATAACTATAATAATTTGTATTAGTAGTATTTGAATACACTTTGAAAATAATTTTCAACGTGTCAGACTCTAATCGGTAGAATAATTAATTGAAGAGAAAAAAGTAACGAATAAAAATCAGGAAGGAAGATCTCGTTACGAAGATGTTACGTTGGTTTAGTTTGAATAAAGAAAAAAAAAAAAAAGAAGAAATCACGAGAAAGAGATGGCCCGATGATCACTAACTCGGTTAACTTGATAAGAAGCAAAAAAAGGAAAAAAGAGAGAAAAAAAGGAAAAATTCTGGTCTAATGCATTTTATGTTTGTCGTAGGGTATTTGTTGAGAGTAGTGAGTAAGAAGTACGTGTACGGCTATTTACCCGCATCGGCAAATAAAAACATCTATTTCACGAAAACTCGTAGCGTAGTCTACTACCTATTGGTCTGTCGTATATGGTAACTCTGCAACTGCGTTAACGTATCTACCGTACGACGACCAGTTTTCCGAACCTTCGGGGTAAAAATCTAGCTTTTCTTTTTTCTTCTATCCATTTTATTTTATTTCATTTCATTCGAAGTTACATTCGAAGAGAGAGAGAGAGAGAGAGAGAGGGTGGTCGGTTGCATCTGCGAACCAATGTTTACTACTCCGCACGAACGAAGCAAGAAGTTTCGAAATTTTTT